TTTTTTAGGACTATATATTTTTATTAAAATTTTTCTGCTCCTCTAGGTTAGTCTGCGATGATCACCTCCGATGACCGCCGGTCTGGATACTGGATGTCCTGCAGTCTGGACACGTGAGCATTCTTTCCTCACTCCTTCATTCTTTCCCGGATGCTTCTATAAGAATTTATGTATCTCTGGGCACTGACGCACAACTGAGAAATTCAACAGCTTAAGTCCTCGGGCTAAAGTAAAATAAAATCTGTTCCTCATGCTTCAGTCCCTTTGATCTGAGTCAGTTCCATGCGCTTCACTATACAGACTCCATTTTCAGTCAGCTTAGCTATAATGACTTCATCTTCTGTTGTTCACTCATTCCTCGCCAGCTAACATAATTGGATAGTATTGGTGTAACGTGCCAAAATTGCCAATTTAGGGATTTATTTTGCTTCCAAAACCTATTATTTCTTGGAACACCACTCTTAGGACTTGAGTAGAGCATACTCATACTATATATGCAAACTTATAAATAGTCATTTTCAAAAATGGCTCACCACCCTGCCGGCGTGGCTCAGTGGTTGAGCATCGACCTATGAACCAGGAGGTCACAGTTTTATTCTCGGTCAGGGCACATGCCTGGGTTGCAGGCTCGATCCCCAGTGTGGGGCATGCAGGAGGCAGCTGATCAATGATTCTTTTTCATCCTTGATGTTTCTATCTCTCTCTCCCTCTCCCTTCCTCTCTGAAATCAATAAAAATATATATTTTTTAAATGGCTCACCATTAGCAGTGGACAGAGCCACAGACACACACTGATCACATGGCAACAGCTACAAGCAAGACTGGTTACAATTCTCTCCTACAAGCTCCTGTCCCAAGTTGTAGAAATGTCAACCTTGACCTTTGACTCTGCACACCCATGTTTCCTGCTCTAGGTTTCCATATATCATTGGGTTCAAACTAAGAACATCTCTATATTGATTGTGAAGCTTTAATTTTCATAGGAGGATAGTTTTTTCCTACCTCCAGAGGTTGGTGTCACAGAAGCCAAGAGAGGAGAGAGCTTCAAGGACGAAGTGGTCAGCTGTGTACAGTAACTGAGGTGGGGGGTGGGAAATGCCGTGGGCTAATTGAGAGAACATTCCACTCGGACCTCTCTACACGTTCTACCTGGATAACCGTGGGCCGGGGCATCCATGGGCTCCACCTGTTCTGGAACCTGCTCAGACCTTTCAGAGCCTCAGGGCCTTTGCAGTGCTGTCCTGGAGTGTCTTTCCCTCAGCCTCCCAGCCTTTGGGTCTCGGCTCAAATGTCATCTCCTGACTACTTACTCTCTTAATTTCCCCACAGAATCCACCAAATCTATCATTACCTGGTTTATTCACTTGTTTGGTATCTGTCCCCTCCCCCTGCCCCCCATGAGGAATGGCGGCTCTAGAAGACCAATGGTCTCCTCTGCCTTCTTTTCTGCTAAATCCCAGTGCCTAGTTATTAACTGAGTGAACAGCTGAATGGATAGCTGGCTTTTGGAAGTCATCTCCATGGACTTCCATCTCCTCATTTGTCAAAAGGGGATGAGAATTCCTCTCTAGCCCTTTTCAACAATGTATTGTTGGCCCCAGAGGGGATCCTTAGCTAAACAAATCCAGGGTCTCTTTGGGTGCAACACTCATAGTGACCAATGGGTGGCAGCAGGATACTGTGGTTGAATCATGACAAGGCCTGGGCCACCTAGAGCACAAAACCCCTAAAGTGTCATGTCCCAACAACCAAGTTCGCTCATTTTCACCATCTGAAGTGCAAGACTCTCTTCAACGCCATGCCCGTGCCCCTGCTACCCAGAAGGAAGGACACTGAACTGACATGTGAGTTCAAGTCCAGCTCGGCCACTTACTGGCTGCGTGACCCAGGTAGTTGCCTTCTATGGAGTGGGGGGTCCTTATGAACTCACAGGGTCATTAGAAGAACCCAACAGATAAAGAACGTGGAAGGACAGCATGCGGGGTCCAGAAAAGACTTTGAGGACTGCAGGGGGCTCGAAGCCCTGGGGCAGCCAGACATTGGTGGAGCCTACACTAGCTGAGACCCCCATGAGCTCCTTACACTCCACGCAGTCTCCTCCCCCTTTCCTCTCCCCTCCCCTCCCTATTCTGCACTTGCACTCAGCAGCTGAAGGTGGCTGAAGAAGAAACAACATGTGGCCGAAACCGGTTTATCTCAGTGGATAGAGCATCGGCTTGTGGAGTGAAAGGTCCCAGGTTCGATTCCGGTCAAGGGCATGTACCTGGCTTGTGGGCACATCCCCAGTGGGGAGTGTGCAGGAGGCAGCTGGTCGATGTTTCTAACTATCTCTCTCCTTTCCTCTCTGTAAAAACTCAATAAAATATATTTAAAAAAAAAAAAAAGAAACAACATGTGACCAGCCTCACTCTAAACCAGTGGTTCGCAACCTTCCTAATGCTGCGACCCTTTAATACAGTTCCTCATGTTGTAGTGACCCCCAATTTCATTGTTACAAATTGAACATAATGAAAGCATAGTGATTAATCACAAAAACAATATGTAATTATGTATGTGTTTTCCGATGGTCTTAGGCGACCCCTGTGAAAGGGTCGTTTGACCCCCAAAAGGGTCGCGACCCACAGGTTGAGAACCGCTACTCTAAACTGACATCCTCAAACCTGGAGTGGGTACCTGAGCTGGCAATGGGACCCTGTTTCATTGGTCCATTCAGTTTCCCTCTCTTGTGATTTTCCCATCTCTGGGAAAATAAGCCTCTCTTCAAAACACAAGACCCCCCCCACCACCCCCCGCTCCCCCCTGGCCATGATCTTGTTTCTTCTTTCACTGAGAAGAGAACCAATCAGAAGAGAATCCCACGTTCTCCCACCAACCTGTGCCCTCAGTGTGCACTGCCTTCCTCTTGTACCAGGAGGCACTGTCCCAGCTCCCAACTGGGGCACACCCGCCCCTCACACACAGGACACTAACCCCTCCTACCCATCCAAGGATTTTGCTGTTGGGACTCTTTCCTCTCTCATCTGCATCTTCATTATTTATTCTATTAATCAGTCCCATGATCTACAAACAAGATATAATCTCCTCTTAAACACTCATGACCCTGCAGGAGCATCTTCCAGCCACCCCGTTTCCTGCACCACAGCTCCCCGGGAGAGGAGCCGGCTCCATCCCCCACCCCCACCCCCAACACCTGAAACCAGTTGCTCACATCTGACTATATTTGGCAGTTGAATAAGCTTCTCAAACCTGCCTGTCCAAACTGAGCTCTTGACTTGAACCCTCTAAGCTGCTTCTCCCCTCACCCCCAGCACCCCCATTTATGGATTGCTCTGACCAAAAGCCATGGAGTCCTTCCTGACTCCACTCTGCCCATACGCCACATCTAACCCCTCAGCAAATTCTCCTGACTTGGCCTTTACAGTCGATTCTGAGGCTGGTCCTTCTCGCTACACAAACTGTGACCACCCAGAATTTGCGGGGAGTTGGCAGAGCCCCTCAAGTTCTCTGCATTCTCTCACTACACTCACCTGCTCAAATCTTTCAGGGCCTTCCCTCCCTCTCAGAACAGTCAAAGCCCTGATTCACCAGGAAGTTTGAGCCCCTGGACCCTCCTCCTTCCTCATCTCCCAATACCTCTGCTCACTCACTCTGCTCACCCACACAGGACCCCTTACTTTTTTTGGATTTTCTGTGTTTAATGTTGGCACTCTGACCCAGCCAACCCTCAGAGATACTTCCCTGTCCCTCTACCTAAAATAGCACCATCCTCTATTCTTCCCTATCCCTTTGCCTTATTTTAATTTTTCTTCACAACATTTGTTGCTTCCACTTCATTTTATCACTTATTTATATGCTTTATCTTGCTCTGTTTTTGTTTTTCCAACTGGAAGGTAAGCTCCTGGGCCTAGAACAGTAGTGCCACAGCCTGCACAGTGGGTTCATGATGACTTGTAGGAGGGCTGACACACAGTGAAGACTCTATACAAGAAAAATGAATTTTGAAGGCCTGGCGGGCCAGGTGGAACCTCTTTTGAGAAGAGGAACCACAAACCTGGGTCCTGCCTGCTTTTTATTCAGTTTGGTCACACATTTGCCCTTTAGCAATGCACACAGGCAGAGCAGATAGAATCAAAGGTAAAATTTAATAGACAATGTAAAGATGATCAGTCAGGAGATCGCCTGGAGCCATCACAGTCACAGCAGGAGCAATCTCATGCTGATTTCAGCCCTGCAGAGGGCAAGGTCCATTGGCCTTCCAGTGTCTCTTTTCCACTTTCATCCTAATGCTGTTATGAGTTGGCCTCCAGCAGAGTAGGACATCACATTTTATTTTATGAATAGATGGACAGTTGGGTGGATGAATGAATGGATGCGTAGATGGATCGATGGACAAATGGATGGATGAATGGATGGATGGATGGATGGATAAATGGATAGATGGATGGATGGGTAGGCAGATGGATGAATCAGAGGATGAATGGATGAATAGATTATGGATGGATGAATGGAGGGACAAGTGGATGGATGGATAAATGGATGGCTGGATCAATGTTTAAATGGATGGGTATTTAAAGGATGGATGGATGATGGATGAATGATGGATGGATGGATGGATGGATGGATGGGTGAATGGGTCGCAACCCCTGGTTAGCTAAATTCCACAAGACAGCACTTACAGGGCAAGACATAAAACACATCAACAGCTCTTGCATCTGAATAAAGCTTTATGTTTACCTAAAGCCCACTCATATTTGTATTTCCAGACACTTCTGAGGGGTAAGGGTGGATATTTCCACCCCACATTTTTAGAAGCTGGGAATAGAGGAATGAGTAACACATGCTCTAAGGCAGCGGTTCTCAACCTGTGGGTCGCAACCCCTTTGGATGTCGAAAGACCCTTTCACAGGGGTTGCCCAAGACCATCGGAAAACACATATATAATTACATATTGTTTTTGTGATTAATCACTATGCTTTAATTATGTTCAATTTGTAACAATAAAATTGGGGGTCACCACAACATGAGGAACTGTATTAAAGAGTCGCGGCATTAGGAAGGGTGAGAACCACTACTTTAAGGGCTGTGTGAGCCTTCTGGCTTCCTTAAGTGGCATCTGCAGCCCATCTCTTCTCCTCAGATATCTGGGGAGAAATCTCTTCAGCCCAGAGATGCTAAAAAAAGATTCCTCTGGTCGTGGCTGAACGGAGACAACAGCAAGATTGATGGACGCGGAGAATCACTTGCAGAAGCTGTGGATCAAAGACGTCTCATCAGGTGGAGTTTAAAAGAACACTGGACACAGGTGAGTGGCTTTAGCCCCTGAGCCCCACTCCACCTTTGCGTGTTGCAGCTCCATGACAGATCATCATAATATGCGTCTATCCCCACCTCTGCAAACATCCTTCCCTGTAGGACACATTCTCTTTTAGAGCTCAGAACTTCTTAAATATTGTTTTTAAAGTTTTAGTGTGCCTGGGAGATACACACTAGCTTCTGCCCTACATTGGAGTTGGCTGTATCAACGCCTTGTCCATCCAACCTCCCAACGTGGGGGTTTCTTAAGGTTAAGGACAGATCAGACACACCATGTGGCTGGCCCATTAGCTGTGTGGCCAGATGCTGTGCCTGCTCCCTGGAGATGGGAGTGGCCTCTGAGCAGGAAGGGCCCAGGACTAGGACCAGCCAGAGTCAGGCCCTGGACATGAAGGGACCTTGAAAGAAGACTAGCATTAGGTGACTTAATCCCCTCAACAACCTTTCGAGAAGGATACTCATATCATTCTCACTCCGCAGATGGAGAGACTGGGGCTCTGAGCACACTGCCAGGCCTGTCTGACTCCAGAGCCAGTGTTTTCACCACTAGAGTTGCAGGGCACATAGGTCATGTAAACCATTCAGGAACAATGCAGGCTCATTAACTGATTGAAAGGTAGTGGCCATTCCAGGATATGGC